GTGTTTCCAGAGAACAAAAGTAAAATGCATGTCACTGTGTGCAACATTAGTCAACAATAGAATGATATGATTTTTTGAATCATTCAAGCGACAAATAAATTTAAACATCAGGTTCCTAACGTAAATGTTTGGGCGTAGATGAAGCATTCACTAGTGTATGTAGCTGTATGGGATAGTATTTATGTTTTTAAATTAATATATAGATGTATATAGTGTATATCTCTATGATGGATAATGAGAATGATGGCCCCAAGGTGTCGCATATACCCAAAATTCAACATTGTGTGATGACAACTTTACATGCGCTATAGTAAAAAGCATAGTGCAAACCTTTTACACTACTAGCATAACACATGTAGGAACCAGGTAGGCTATGTAAGCAGTTTCCTGGGGTGCCAGTGTGTGAGGGGCACACTGAGAAGAGGCATGAAAATAAATGTACTTAAAAATGACATGCAAACACAATGTTTACATACTGAAGGCAAACCGGTCACAAAACAATTAGCTAAAATAGGCTAAAAAGGTCCATAAAGTTGCAAACTTGGGTTTGTCAATAGTAATGACCTGTTTTACATTATTCATTAGACTGTAAAATATGGTTTCTCATCTTACTTGCCATGAAGATAGGTTTGGTTTTATTTGCTATGATTTTGAAACATTTGTCTGTGAGACTGCTGTTGACACTCCAGAGAAGATTAATTATTACTTTTTATGGTGCTGACAGCACCGAAAAATATTCAGCTTGCTGTGAATATTTTTTTCTGAAAAAAATAAAAAATCCCCAGACAGGTATCTTAAAACTTGGGGAAATAAACCAAACCTAGTTTTAGCGAACACTTTTTGCCCACACAGAGCAGCATTATCATTCCACTGGAGTTGTGTTTTTGGCCCTATTATACACATGTTGCTGAATGCCATTTAAAAAATATGTTAATGAAAGACCCTGCACATTAAGTATTACAGAATATTAATATTCTCTTACAGTGAATATAGCGGATGCCAAACTGCATGGAGAACTTGAGCAAATGCTACTGTGGACAGATGTATGATTCTGGTGTCTGTGTCTTTTCACTTGCAAGTTAAAAGGATTTTGTCAGCTCCAGGAGCATATTCATATTGGTCTCTCCATACTTTGTTTTATATATCAGAAGAATATGCACAGAAGGGTATAATAATCATGTCCACATTTCAGCTAAAATGACTATAACAGGAGCAGAGTTATTAGGGCATAAAATATTCTCACATTTTCTTACACTAAAATGAGCTATATTGCATTTTTTAATGGGGAAAAATACTGGAGTCATTTCCCCAATTCCTGTCAGCTCTGTCAGAAATAACCCAACCTGAAATGTCACATTACTTATTTATTGAAGCATAAGACATGATTTGATTTCACCTGCCATGTTTTTCCCATTTAGTTTTTGGCTGATGCCCCCCCTTTTTTTTTTTTTACACCAATTTTTTTACACCAACAGAATATAGAAGTACTATTGCTAATGGCTTTTCCTAGAATTCCTTTCTCCGAGTAATGAAGCCAGACTCCTGCAATGCAAATAAAATTCTCATATAGAGCCATACACATCAAAATCCAAACCACTGATGAAATTTTACATACATTTGTCAACAACAAAATGATACCTTTTGGGTGAGTATGACAGAGAGAAAATCTGGGGGATGAGATGAAGGGAGAGCTTGCATTCTGAGGTGGGTGGGTGGTGATAGAAGGACTGAAGGGAAGTGCGGAAGGGTGGGAAGAGGAGGAGATGGAGGCATAAAGATATGGGTTGGTGTTACATACCTAAGCAGATGTGACAGTTCTGAAAGCTTTCATGTGGAAAAAAGGTATCTCTGGCCTTGCAGCAGTGCTAAACTGAGCGTGACCCTCAGACGGTATCTAGACATCTCTCTCGTTGTCTCTCTCCTAAACTGCCCACGAACAGGAAAACCCTCGCCCGACAGTGTGTATACTATAGGATTTAAGCTTACAAATTCCCATTGTCCCTCTGTTTGTCTCTGCTTCACTTTTGTTAGGTATTTTTAGTCAGATAGAAATTGGATAGATACTTTATGTATTAGAAATGTTTAGTGGAGATAGGATGTCTAGTTAGACTGTTAAATGCTTAGTCATGCTTATGAGTTTCTACAGGGTACATCTGGTCAAGGATAACTAGAGAGAAGAGTTGATGACTGTCAGCAGACAGGGTGTTTAATATTATTATTATGACGTGTATAACTGTAGCCTTAGCCATAATATGTTCTTATGTTTAAGTCACGACATGTACTAGAAGTCTGTGAGAATGTTTTTAGTTACACACCACTTAATCAACAGACACACACATTGATTTACTTCATGTTTTGACTACTGCTATGACCAGCTGCAAAGCTGGTAACAGAGACGTCTCGGTTGACGTTTCTGTGTAGTATGGGGCTAGCCCAACCGAGGGGATATAATGTATAGGCCTGGTGGGTTCAGGGTCTTTCATCTTACATCTGCCTGTGAGCAGTTTGGAGGTGCAAGATACCTGAGCGTGTAATGTTAATTTTTACCTGTGATCCTTTGAATAAATCAGCACTGTTTTGAAGTTACTGGGACTGTCTCGTCTCTCAGAGTTAGCGATGGTAAGAAGAACCAAAGTCCTACACTTTCATTTGATCTGTTTTCTGTTTCCCATTGCTTTTTAACAGTTGTTTTCTTGTCAGGTGTCTAACATGAAAATATTATTTTTGTGTGGTGTTGGAGATTTTAGGGATGGAATTGCTGGCCACTCAGTCCAGGAATCTGATGTCAAGTGGTCCTGTTTTGACAGGTCAAACTGAAACTGTCACAAGTTCAATCAGTGTATTAATTTGTGCAGAGTTTGTGTGAGGCCAATGTGTAAAATGATGGACCTCGGTTTCCAAGGTTATCCTCCCCATATCTGAGTGTACAGAAAGTAAAAATGCTAAGTTGGATTAACGTAATGATCACTACTCTCCTCGTCATCATGAGCAGCAGGTTGTCATTTATGTAGCCTTTTTTATTGTTGTTGCTCTTTTTCTGCACTGGTGGCCATGAGTTTCCTGTTCCTCTCCATGTTTTGTTTGATAGAACATACAGAACAATATAGCACTATATAATGTCTACTGTAGTGTTAGGGAGAAGGAAAAAGCAGACTGGCCACCAGAAAAATTATCAAACGTCTCAACGGCCAATAGATTATTGGTATATCAACCACTGTTAACTTTTGTACAGGCATTCAGGGCCCCCAGAGGATGAATCCTGCTGTCTTTGGTGATCTGTTCACCTTTCCTGTAGTCCCAGCAGCAGGTCACAAGTTTCATTTATTCAGTCATCTCTAGACAATTCTAGATGCATTGGAACAAAATTTTGTACATTCATGGTTCCCAGGGGATGAATCATAATTACTTTGGTGATTGCTGATTTTAATGTAGTGCAACCATGAAGCTGACATCGAATACAATGCCTCAACAACTACTGGATAAAATGCCATGGCATTTAGTTCTGACATTCATGTTCCTCTCAGGATGAATTGTAAGCATTCTGGTTATCTTTGACCTTTCATCTAGTGTGATCATCAAATTTAAATTTTAACCAAAATGTTTTGCAGGCTCCTCTGCCCTCACCAGGGTAAAGCTCCATGGGATCACTGAATTCTTGCTATTTTTTTGGAATCTTTGGGGCATGAAAAATGGTCAGATGCATAAATCTGGAATGGCAGCAGTTTATATGAGCCCAGCCCCAGTGTTTAGCCCCTTCCATCTGCCCCTGTTTACCCCAGACTGTGGCTCTGTATGTTAGGGGACGGGGGAAGTCCACACAAGCAGAAGGCAAGAGTGCAAACTATCGGATCGGAACTCTTCCACCTGCCAAGAGAAGTAACTCTTCCTTTTATGAGCCAATTGAAATTCAACTCACAGGCTATCCATTCTGTCAGTGACAAGAGGAGTCAGGACAACCTTGCAACCTCCAACACTAATAACACTGTAATGGTCAGAGATAGATCAAGCTGAACGCTGATAGTTAGAACGGGTCTTCGGCCTCCCATAAGTGTTTATTGCACACAATTTTTGCCTTCATTTGTTTTGAGCAGATGCATGCTTGGGTACACTTGTAGTCGATCGCTATATTTTCACTCCAGCAGTGGACTGAAAAATAAGCTGCCGCTTTTGTTCAAAGAGCATCTTGCCTGCAGGTAGTGCAAGGTACTGTGTGTGCTTAAAGACCAAGTATACAGTGGTCTTATTCTTGCTTCGTATGCAGTGGCATCACAGGTTCATTACCACCGTCTCAATCAGAAGTATTAGTCCTTGAGAGGTCTTAGTGTGCTTTTCACTTGCACACAATTCAACAGAAGCAAAGGAAAACAGGGATTAGACTAACAACAGGGTTCTTCTAATGGAACCGGTTTCAGCACATCTTTATCATGATCAGCACTAAGGGGCAGTAGAGAACCTGGAATGAAAGTGCCATTACTTCAGGGCACACCAAACTGAAATTATACTAACAAATTAAATACTGAAGATGTGTCACAATCTATCATTGCCCTATTCCCATCAGTGAATATTCACTTGATGTCAAAATGTCTCATACAGCAGTACATAACAATTAGATACATACCACATACAAGCTATCTATCTAGTTTTTGAGAATAATCTTAAATAAGTAAGTAATCTACATTCCCTTTCAATGAACTATAACACAAGTAATTCACGTTTAACTTGTTGGCTATACTAGTTTATATAACACGATAAAGATGCACATTCCAATAATAATAATAATGCATATTACCACATAGATCAAGAAAATCACTGACGAACACCTCTGGGTCTCCCACACATACACCTGTAACTAATGATTTAATAAGTGCACCCAGGCTAGTTCCGGACTTCAACACCTGATTACGTCTGACATTTTTATGATAATAGTCGCGCACTCCGTACTTCGGGCACACCCATGTCAATACTGAAGATCTGGTAGTGGGATTGTCGCTACGGTAGGCGGCGCGCATCCACACCGCACACGGTAGGCGGCGTCAGTCCGGAAAGCGACATCCTTCTGAGCTCACTTCCGTGGCTTGAGTCGGATAGTCTCTCAGTCTCTCGCCGCTTTTGTTCTCTCATTTCCACCTAGACAGCGCTGCCGAAAAGGGGGAATCAGGCTGGGAAAGCACAAACACGCAAAGTATCGGACCCGACTGTCGCAGAAACGTCCGGTAGCCACATGCACATCGCCGTCTGCGCAGAGGACTCGCGGCACTCTGTAGTTACATAAGTGGACTACTTTTTTCTATTACTGTAATTTTTTCCTGTTTTGTTACATCGAACCTGACTTCCACCTCTCTAAACTCAAAATGGAGAACGACGACAAATACCTTCCCGAGCTGCTGGCGGAGAAGGACAGCCTGGACTCGTCGTTTACACACGCCATGAAACTTTTAACCGCAGGTAAAGAACAGCCACATGCTATATCATTTCAGTTTCCGAATAGGGTTTATGCTTTAAGTTAACCGGGGGGTCACACGCGGCTCAGTCAGCACATACCAAGACGCACCTCCATGCGTGGAGCGCCATGTGTTTGCGTGGATCGCCACGTTAACCGCAACACTAATGTGAACTACTTTCACAGCTCGGTAATCGATAGGTTTGTGTGTGGTTCGTGGCTGCATGTAGCAAGCAGTTGTAAATAAAGCTGTTCTAACCATCAGCGCACACACTTTTGAAAGGACAGTCGTGAATAATTTCCGCTTCCTCTCTGCGATGTGTCAAATCAGTTTTCTCTGGGACCGTGGAGGCTTGTGCCGAGTGTAAACTTAAAAGCTGCGCCGCTTATCTGAGGAAGGTGGCTTGTTTTCGGCGTGGAGTCCCTGTTGATCCGCTTGTTTGGCAGCTACGCAGCATTAAACCAAAGTAGTTCACTAACCGAGACTGGGGTCACCTCGGTACGTGAACGCCAAGGCGGCCTAGCAGCGGTGACAGAGACCTTCCAGTCCCGCAGCTGAAGTGTCCTTGAGCCAGACACTGCGGTTGGCAGCTGCGGGGCTGCAGTGCTGGAGAGGGGGCCAAAGAAAAGACTGCTCCTGGGATCCAGTTTTCCCTGTGGTCGTCAGCGAGCTCTGACATGCCTGATCCTGTTATTAATATTTTGTCTCTACGCTGTATTAATATGTCAGAAACTCTCTTAAGCACAATAACGTAGTGCTACGAGCCCAAATACTGGGGGATACTGTGAATTCACGAATGAGGAATTACATTGATACTACAGATAATGAACATGCACAGAACAAAAACATCATTAGGTCATTATACACTAGCTACTGGTGTAGATAAACTGAGTGATTGCTCTGTTTTGTTGGTGTTATTGCCCAAGTGCTCTCCCAGTGGCTGTGAATCATTTTCTGCAGCCTGGGTCTTATTTGCTGCTCCACTCAAGCATCTCAGATACCTCTGCTAATGATAAAGTTGGTGTCTTTGTGTAACAGGATGTGCTACATCTCTGAAACTGAAAGTAGGAATGATCCAGAAAGACAAGAATGTTTGCTGTCAGTTTCTTCAGTAAAGCATCTGCTGGGTTTTCCCCACATCTGCAGCTGGTAGAGTGTGGTGTAGCTGACATGTTTGCACATCACAGGCTCAGAAGCTGTCACAGCCAGGAGAGAGGCGGTGGTTTGAGGAGGCGCTGGGGGCCAGGTGCTGTGCCACATTGAAGTGGTGGCAGAATGGGCAGCTAAGAGTTGATGTCTGCCTCGCGAATTGTGGTTTGAAGCGTTCAAGATAGAGCCTCAACTGATTGTTTTAATGATCGATTAGTCTGACGGATGTTTTCTTGAGTAATTGTTTATTTATTCTTATGAAATGTGAAAAAAAAATCGATTACATCATGTCCCCAGAGTACAGGATGAAAACTTCACGTCCGGTATTGTCCGACCAGCGGTCCAGACCCCTCAGATATGGGGTAAAAAAAGCAAATGCTCACATTGAAAGAACTACAGCCAGCTAATGTTAGGGGGTTTGAGTGTTTCAGCTCTATTCGGGATATTGACACGATGACAAAAGAGTGCTAAATTAAATACATCTTTTGTTCACGTAGGCACATCATTGCTTGGCATTCAATTAACAGTGAGTTTGTGATCTGAGTCAAAATAATTCAAGATATCTTTGTGAACATTTGACAGCATTATGCTGAAGAGTGAATGTTTTTGAAGCCATAGAAGGGCTCTCTTTCAGATAGGACCTGCTTCACAATGAACCAAAGTATCTAAATGTCACTTTTCAGCCAAATGTAGCCAAGTTTACATCCTGACGTCTATAGTGATGGTTGCACCTGAAAGTCGCCAAATCGGTGCTTACTGTGTAATGTGATTATATTGTCCTTTGTCACTCTGAACCCTGTTTGATTGCATGGACACTGCCTGAAACGCGACCTCTTCCCTTCTAGAAATTGATAGAATCCAGAAAGGCGAGACTAAAAAGGAGGCAGAAACATACCTGGACCTTTTCACAACAAAGAACATCAAACTTAAGGAGCGAGTGCTCATACCTGTCAAACAGTACCCGAAGGTGAGCTTTATTTGTCCCTGATCTTTTTATTTTTTTATTTTTACCTCTTCTTCTTCTCTCTTTCTTATTAACCACTTTGAACCCCACTTGATTTAATTTATCCTTCAGCTGAGTTTCAACCACACAAAGGCATGGGGTTACTTTGGAGTCTCAAATTACTCCTCTCAACCTTAATCTTTAAACTCCAGAGTATAATTACAGTGGACACTGGTGTGTTTTTAAATATCGCTAAAAGGATCAAAATGTTAATATTGCTCTGGCTGGGATGGCTCTGTAATTCACTGTGTTCAGGAGACTGGATCATTTCTGTTTGTGCTCAGTAAATGTTTCTATTCAGAGTGAAATCTTATTGGCTTTATCATATAATCTCAGGAGCATTCATCCACGTTGGTTCAATCTGTGTCAGGCTACATTGGTTTTAAGATGATGGTTTATGATGGAGAAGGAATGTATGTTTCAGAATAATAATAATAAAAAAAACACTGGTAGCTGCATAATGCCTATTTTGCATGTTGTCAAATTTATTTGCATCACCTTAAGTCACTCGGTCTCTGTGTAACGCCTGCTGTGTAGCTTTTTAGGTTTTGGTTTGACTTTGACAAGAGCTGACAAACCGCACTGCTTTAATTTAATTCCAAGAAGTTCTAACTAGGAAAGATGTATAAATGCTTCTCCATCCTGAGCATCAGATCAGTATGGTGTAGGGGTTTGGTCTGTGAGAGAAGGCAGCCTTCAGGTCCCACAGACCTGGTTTTAGTTTGTACATCAGTCCACTGTGTCTGGGATGACAAAGCTAATAAGCATTTACAGATTACTGTTACAACTCCATGAAGATTTGCTTCCTTTGGGGCAAGTCCCAACTAAGTGTGTTTGGCAGTGACAGCTAATTGTAGGACACATCATATACACGGTAATTACATTGTTCAGAGATTGAGGAGGCAAAGATAGCAGCTTCTGATTGCAAATTGGTTTTGGTTCAGTGTTTGGATGATTGTCGTGAACAGTAACTGATGGTATTACAACCCTCCAGAGTTCATATCGACCTTCTTTGGTAAATCTACTACTTAAGGCTGCAGTGCGCACAACAAGTTTCCTGGCAGCGATAGCTCCTTCACTCCCATGGCATTAAACCTCTGCCTTGATTGTCAGGCTAATTTAGTTCTGCTTTGTTTTGCTGTTAGTTCAATTTCGTGGGGAAGATTTTGGGACCTCAGGGCAATACAATCAAACGTCTGCAGGAAGAGACTGGAGCCAAGATCTCTGTGCTGGGCAAAGGATCCATGAGAGACAAATCCAAGGTACTGCTCTCACACACACACACAGAATCACACACATTTGGTAATACACACCTGTGAGAAGGGTACCTGGGGTCATAACACATCTGGCCTGTACTTAAGAGGGTTGGCAGGCAGTGAGCCCAAATGGCATCAACTTGCAGGATAGCTTGAGTACACTTGGACGTAAAGCCAAGGACATTCATGGACTGCACATCTGTTCCAGGAGGCTTCAGGATAGTCTGCTACACCTATTATCTACCAGTCTGATGTGATTATTAAGCAGTGTAAAGAAAGGGCATTCCACACCTATGCAGGATGCACTGAGAGGTGGATGAAATGCAGTTGCTTCTTGCATAATTCATTAAATTACAGTTAGCTGTGTGCTCTCTTTGACTGGCTGACACTCCTGTGATGTTTCTTTTGTTTCAGGAGGAGGGGCTGAGGAAAGGTGGCGAGCCCAAGTATGCCCACTTGTCCATGGAGCTGCACGTATTCATCGAGGTGTTTGCCCCCGTGCCCGAGGCTTACCTGCGCATGGCACATGCCATGGAGGAGGTCAAGAAGTTCCTGTTTCCTGTGAGTCTTGCGCTGTTTGCTTGTTGTTTTCCAGTGGCGGGCTGTGGACTTGCTTGTGTGGACTTCACTAGAGCTGTAAATCATTTTTCTTTTGTTAATTAACCTGTTTTTTATTATTGATCATTGAGTCTATAAATGATAAATCAACAATATTAACTAACACCAAACAAGTTATCAGAGGCTAAAGTGACATCTGTAGATTTTTATTACAAAACATCCTGAGCTTTATTTAACTATTCTAATAATATAAATCAGAGAGAAGCCAGGAAATCTTTGCATTTGAGCAAACTGTAATGGCAGTTTTTTAACTAATAACTGATAAGATGCTCAAGTCACTATTAGATTCGATTACTGTTAGATGAAGCTTTGTGAGGGGGGGCCCAGTAGGACAGAGAGGGAAGATGGAACGGGCATGTAAAAGCAGTCGGCTTCAGAAGGGCACTTGGGTCACTTTCACAGCATCAGTGGGTTTAGCCCTTCATGTGGCTTGCTTACACATTTATTCATCACCATCTCATTATGCGAGTCTTATTCGTCAGGGAGTGAGGAGAGCCACAGCCTGGAGATGTAGAGTTCTGAGACAGATACGTGGGCACATCGGCCCTGCATGTTCTGCGCCTGCTTTATTGCTTATATGCTGAGAGATTCTTGAGTGTGGGCCAACCGTGTCTGCTGCCAAGCCCAGCTGACGCCCATAGTGCTAGAACAATGGGTCATGCCAAAGCAGGCCAATAGGCCCAAGGGTTTGTGAGTTTCCTTACATTTTTAAATTAGTGTGCTGGGTTCTATAGAAGCAGGGATAATTTAGATCGGAGGTGAGATGAATGGGCTGATGAACCAGTTGCAGTGCTGGTATTGCCGTGTTATGTAAAAAGCACAACCTGTCGTTACAGTTTAAGGCCATAATCTGTCAGGCTTTATGGCCTTCATTTGGATCTGGGCCGTATTTTAATAAATGAGTCAGGTTCACAGAAAATGGGTGGATGTGATTTGTAGGAAATGTTTTATGTATTACCTGTATTGCGCAGGCTTTGACTCCTGTTTGTCCTCATCTGTTTTGCGTGTGTACCTGTATGTCTAGCAGTGTAAATTCAAATGCAGAGCCGTGCTCCTCTGTGAATCATTTGCAGATTCTTTTAGCTCTTGATGCTGATGCTTGGCAAAAAAATTCTGTAGAATGTAATGTCTAAAGGAACATCATTAATCTAAATATCTTGATGGCTAAAGACGCAACACTGTGGCTTGTTAGTTGCATTCATACTGCTCCTCTCCTGAGATGAATTTGTAATCAATCAAATGACTTGTTTTCCTGCTGTTGCTGCAGATTAATTGAAGCCTGTTGTCTGCGCTGCATATTCTGGTAGCCACCTTTTTTCACCATCATTAGAGCTTTGTCACCATTCCAGTCCAGGGACTGATTTATGAAAAAGAAGTGATTGGGTCACAGCGCGGCTCTTGTGATTGCTCCCTGAAGAAAGGCGGTGGATTGTGTTCAGGGATTTGTGCTGCTCAGCCAGACAACGTCAGTAATCCACCCCAACTTATTGTTTTTAAGGATAGATTGAGATAACCATTGATGCAGACACCCCAGACTTGTCAAGAAGTGCTGGGAGACATGATTTACATTTTGTGCATGATGAACAGAGTCACTGGCACTGAGACTTTCTCTTCTGCTCACTGTGTTAGTCACTGGGGGGATGTTGTGTTTTGAGCATTTCTGTAATTGTGTTTCACTCTTTTATTCATTTTTATTCTTCCCTCATCTTTTTATTCATTTGTGAGCTTTCATGTTCCCATGTCATGTGCTCTTGTTTCTCACCCGCTTACCTGCGTTTATTTTCTTCCTCTGTGCTTGCGCGTGCATGTGTGTGTGTGTGTGTTTAGGATATGATGGATGATATCTGCCAAGAGCAGTTCATGGAGATGGGCTACCTGAACGGAGGCCAGGAGCACGGAGCCCGAGGCCGAGGAGGTCTGCCGGTCAGGGGCCGTGGAATCCCTCCTGCTGGAGGACACAGGTGAGGATATGTATGGACACACAGACAGGGTTTGTCATATAGCGACGGCTGTCTCACTGAGATAGTAGAGAATCTGCTGCTTATTTACTACTACGCAAGCGTAACAAAGAAAATGCTGAGCAAGGCCATAAATACATTATATTGTATACTTTTTTTTTGGTTATTGTGGATTTTCTTGTGTGTGTTTATTCTTAGGGAAAGGGTTTTTGGTGTGTTTTTCACAGGAGACAATACAAACTGTGTACTGCCTGTAAAATTAATGTGGAAAAACTAATTCAACTCTGTGTTTAAGGAAGAACAGTGGATCTAAACCAGTAGCCATTCACACAAAAGATCTAATTGCTAATGCCAGAAGTCGGATTTTATTTTTTTTTAGCCCAATGGCACATATCAAAGCCTCGAGGCTTTATAGTCTGTACAGCTTACAAAACCCTCTGTCCTTAGACCTTCTTATTTATATAAATGTTGTGTATTTTAAACATATTTGTGGCATTTTATTCACTTCAAGTTGGATTTCTCTGAATTCCTCTTTCAAAACAGCCCAGATTCCACCTCCGTATTGGAAGATATTAACATAAAATGTACATTATTCATGAGCATTTACTTTGATTAGCTGGAGGTGGTGACTCACGCTGACCCCTAGCCAACCAGAATAGGACCTAATGAATAATGCAAACATTCCTACAGTCACTCTCACAGACTGTATTTAAAGATAGATGAGGTGACCACTCCCAGAAGTGAAACTAACAAAAATCCATCACCCCCTGATGCTGGTTGCAGTATAGGTCATCAAACCTGCTTCTTCCATGTTAGAGGATGGCGTGCGAGCCAAAATAAAAAGTTAAAGAACACATCAAATGAGTTTTTCCCAAAAGTGATTTCTGTCATTTTAGGCTGACATTATCACAGTCATTTGTGTAGAAATGGTCACTTGTTTTTAGTAGGTTATTTGATCATGAAAAGGGGTGTGTTTAGGGTGATTTGACAGTGTTAACTGGCAGCCTGATACCACAGCTCCGCTTCTGGCCGCTACTGCACAGCATCTGGTTGCAAAATGCATCACAAAAGCAAGGTAGCCATATTAACAATATTTTTACCTCACTTTTGTATAGTGGCAGGAAGTTGTGATGCATCATCCATTTTCATATACAGTTATGGTCGATATTTACCTTAATACCTTAACAGCTGCAGATGGAAACAAGACAGTATATAGTGAATACATAGTATATACCACTCTTGCGTCTCTCTGCTGGGAACGGCTGCTAATTAGTATAGCTTAGATTAAAAAGCTGGAAACAGATTGCCTAGCTATACTGGCACTTTTAACACAGAACAGACTAATATGTTATGTTAAGCAGTGAGCTTTTGAGGTGCAAGAGGCAGATTTTGTTGCCTTTGGACACTACACCAGCTGTTCCTGTTTTACAGTCTTTATGCTAAGCTGTGCTAACCAGTTGCTGGCTGCAGCTTTCTATTTAGTGTGCAGATATGAGAGTGGTGTCATTCAACTCTTGACAAGGAAATAAACAAGCATTAAAAATGTTGAACTATTCCTTTAAGTAGACAACACAGAATTGACTCGGTATTGCTTTCTCTAGGGGTAGGGGAATGCCTCCTCGTGGTGTAGCAGCCAGAGGTGGTGTGACCAGAGGTGGTGCAGTAAGAGGTGCCCCAGCAGGCCGAGGAGGACCCCCTGCAGCACCTGCTAGGGGAGCAGCAGCCCCCCGCGCCAGGCCCCCAGCTGCTGGGCCTCCCCAGAGGATGGCGCCACCCCCCCACCAGCACACCCCTGCTGCAGCTGCTGAGAGCTATGATGAATATGTAAGTACAATTGTCAGTGGAAAGTAGTTCTCGTGTATTCTTTTAGTTTACTGTAATTTCCGGACTATAAGCCGCATCCACTAAATGTAAGATGAAAAAACATTTCGTACATAGCCGCAGGTGTCCACGTTGTAACATGAGATATGTCGACAGCCAGATCGATCGCCTTGAAAGCTGCATCATATGCATTTGGTCATGTGTTGTCCATGATGAGGGTGTGGGCATGAAGCGACAAAAGTAGCGGCTTATAGTCCGGAAAGTACAGTATATGTAGTTATCTGCTGCATCATGTACAACAGCTTTCATTAAATATTGTTAATACACAAGTAACGATCTCTTTAAGCTGTCGTTTTGATAAGGCAGACAGATGTAGCATCACAGGGTTGACGTAGCTAAATTGAACCTCTCCAGCACATCTCCTTTGAATGAGAGTGTTCTGTGTGCTGTGTTATCTTTGAAGTGTTTGTCCGTCACCACAGAAATAAGTGATTTTCCATGTTTGAGACATAAGGGGAGCATGTCTGGTTTAGTACAAGTGTAGTACTTAGGGGACATCTTGACATTCATGAATCATGAATGAGTCTCTCCTTAAATCTCACTCTTTCTCTGTTTCCTTCCCTCTCCAGGGCTACGATGAGAGCTATACAGACACAGCCTACGAGCCATACGACAGCTATTACAGTCAGCCACAGGCGTAAGTGAATCAGATGTCTCTTTTGTTTTCACCTGCTTTTCACAGTGCCTGGTTGCTAGTTCAACACAAAAGGGGACTGTAGAGCATCAAAATATTTTTTAGCCACTCTGGTTAAATTCAGCATTGATGATGCTTCATGTTTCATGGTTTGGATGGCAGTGTTATTCAGGAGAACCATGTGAGACTCAGATGTTCCTTGCTAGAGAGCCAAGCTTTGATCTTACTTTCAGAAGCCAATTATCCCCCTAGATATTTCAGTGAGCAGCTACTTGGTGTTTTTCAGAGATTAAAAGTGACTTTTCCTTCTTCTTGTCCCCCTTTTTTTTTGACCACCAGAGAGCCAGAATACTATGACTACGGACACGGAGAAACCACAGAGTCATATGAGTCATATGGTAAGGAACACCTTTATTCACTGTCAACAAAGATGACCTAATTAAACGTCTTTAAAATGATGCAGAACAATGAAAGTGTGCATATAAATTTGAGTCTAAACCAAAAGAAAGTATTTTTAATTGTACATATAATTAATATGCAGCATATCTTGTAGTTAATTTCCGTTTCCTGCCTGGATGAGGATTTATGTACTCGCTTGAAATTTCAAATTGAACAGAGTCTAAAACTACTGGTAGCCCACCATGTTCCCAGTGTAGCTTTTCGGACCATTTAGTTCCAGCGTTTGTTGGGATTGTTGTGTTTTTGTGAGAATTTCTGATTGTAAACCCGACATTATTTAGAAAAAGAACTCCACAGGGCAGCTCTACTGTGTCTTAGCCAAATTGGTTTTCTTAGTAAGCCCTGGCAGTGGTTTGAATGATCGATGTTCTTATTATTTCTTGTTGCCTCCCCAGGCCAAGATGACTGGAATGGGACCCAGCGAACAGTTCCAGGGAAGGCCCCTCCCCCCTCCAGAGGTGCCAAGACGCCTTACCGGGAGCACCCGTACAGACAGTACTGAAGCGGACTCGCCACCCTTAACGTGTTGCCCTGCCTACTGCCTGTCTACCACGGCAGCTCTCGCTTTAAGCAGCCTGACAAAAAGTAATTGTCCGTTTTGTCTTTGGTTTAGTCTTTTCCTACACTGGACATTATATAAGAGAACAAATTGGGAACTGAAAATCGGAACTGCTTTTTGACATTTGACCACGAACTCCCTACCCCACCCCTACTTTGTTGCTCCAACCAACCACCTGTCCATCCATCCAACCATCTAAAGTGGCTTATAGATGGGTTAGAGAGGAGAAGTTGGTGTCCTTTTTTGTTGTTTTTACTTTGAGTTTTTCTTTATTTTGCTGTGTTTTTCTTCTCTGACCCTTTTTACCCCCCTCCGGCTTTTTTGCAGTGTTGACCATAAATTTTTTTAACTGTTTGAAAATTATCATTTTAAGTGGAATTAGTGGCTCATTATCCACTTGTCTAAGGAAGCCATCTTAATTGTTTTTAAATACAAAGAATCTGTTGAGGGTCAGTTGCAGATTCCCATTTAGGCTACATTTCAAAATTCTGTTAATATAGCAAAATAAAAGACCTTTTAAACTTTCAATTATGTAATTTAGAAACAAGCAAAAAAAAAAAGAAATCTTAAATTAAGTGAAGGTTAAAGAATCTATTTTAATGGAATCTGTTCAATTCATTCTTGGTGATGGTTTGTTTTTAAATAGTTCTAAAAACGTTGTCCATTTAGACTTAGGAACCAATATTTGTTATTGTACTTAGAGTTTTGAAATATAGCCCTAATAGACACTGTTGAGATGGACTGTCCTCATATCCTCAATTTGCTCTACATGTTAAAAATTAATTTTGAGAACACGGCCGAGGGACGGCCTCCTGTTATGCAAAAAAACGTTCAGGTCTTCATTTTGTGATCTGATTCTCTATAAACTGCATGCACAAAATACACAGAAGGATTGGGACAAAAATCTCCACATGGGTCTTCTCTTTCTATAGAGAAGGGATCCTGCAGCTCAATCCGAACTCTTGTACATATTTTAAAACATCCTAACTGTACTTATTCTGCCACTAGTATCTGTACCCTCTCCATAAAATGCATTATGCTACATGTGTAAGCTTGCCTAAATAGGTTACTAAATTTGTCCAAAAGATGTTTTGCAGCAGTTTGTCAATAAAGCTTAGTTTGTTTTTTATGAAACTTAACTTGCTTTATTTGTTTCCTGTCCTAGTAAAATTCTGAAATGGCCTTTTTTAAACTACCTTCAGCAGTCAGATGTAGGTGTTTTCCTTTGTTTCTCATTCAAAACCGCATTTTAAATCTAAATGAATGTATTGACGTCTGAAGACTTTAACCCTACTAAATGATGTCTTGATTGATTATCAAAAGAGCACAACTTATTCTTTCTCTCTCTTTCTATACCTTTTAAAAAGGACCCAGAGGTAAGACCTCTAAAATAACCTGGATAGCTTCCTAGTGTGTATAGAGTTCTAAAGCATTGAATGCCTGGGTATGTATAAGACTTTTTCAATCCTCTTACCTGTGGTCGTAATCGTTAATGAGAATTGCTTTTATAGCATTTGAAAATTAACTGAATTCAAACCACCATTCAGGTCTAGGCTTCATTGTCATGAATGACGCTGGCGCGATGGCTACTTTAGTAGAGAGTAATGGCAGTGCAATGGAGAGGATGGTTATAACCTAGAGAACTCCACTGTAAAGGTAACCTAACCCTAAATGTTTAATTTCGTAGTGTGTTTATCCATTGACGTAAACTTGCTGGTAAATGCGTACACTTTCTTAAAATATTTATTACAGTCATGGCAACAAAAAAGAATCGACTCAAAAGTAAGAAAAACGTAACTTCCAATATCATACAGTAGTGGATTTTATGTACCAAAATAACTGTTCTGTGTACTAAAAATATATTAGAGTAGTGTTAATGCAACTCTTGCTAAAATGAACAAAGCCAAATCTATGTCAATATCTTCTGTACAGTTGAGCTGCTGTTACTTTTTTATTTGCTGTGTTAAGGTTGCTTACTGTAATATTTAAAAGGTTCTGCCTGTACAAAGTTAACCAAAAAACAAAGCTTGAGTTGCATGAGCATATCTTCTCCTGTAGACGTTGCATGATCTGTCTCACAATTTTCCCAGTATGTTTAGACACGGTATTGATTTGGTTTTTGTCCTTCCTTCATGCACAGCTATTGGACTGAGTGCCTGGAGACTGACAGTCTGCTGAAGTGAGACTATACAAATCTCAGGTTGGTCTTTGTTCCATTTTAAAAGACCGTACTGCTTGCTTTGCATGCTTTAGCCCATTAACTACACATTCCATATGTTTTTCATTACCACCAACCATATAGCAAGTCTTAGATTGATTTTTCTACCTTCCAGGCATCCATTAATATCTGTTCATGTTAGCACTTTATGAAAATCAACGTGCATAAACTTAAAACTTGCAATCAGTCACAAAGAACAACTCCAGCTTCAGCTGTGTATTGGGCCTTTTTTGTTTTTGCAGTAAGCAGAGAACAATTTGGAATCTTAAAACTATTAGTGCTCAGACACCTGAGTCCAGGCAGCAGCCTTTTAAGTGGTTAGCGCTGTCATCTCGCAGCAAGAAGGTTCTGGGTTTGACCTGGTGCCTTTCTGTGCAGAGTTTGCATGTTCACCCTGTGCTTGCGTGGATTCTCTCCGGGTACTCCAGCTTCCTCCCATAGTCCAAAGAGATACAGGTCCGGTTGATTGGCCACTCTAAATTGCCCATAGGGGTGAGTGTGGATGTGTGTGGTCTCTGTCAGCCCTGTGTTAGACTGGTGACCTGACCAGGGTGTAGCCTGTCCAATCTCGCCCAGTGTCAGCTGGGATTGGCTCCAGCCCCCCTGCACCCCTCTTCAGGATAAGCGATATAGATGATGGATGGATGGATGGATGGAGTCATTTATGGTAAATTCAGTGCTACAGCAGCAACCAGTTAGCCTAGTTTAGCTTAGCATAAGGATTAGAAATTGGAAGAAAGGAATGTATGGCCGGCCAAGTATGTTACACACACAAGAAATTTGTTTCCGGTATAGAACCGATGGCAGCCATCTGCGGTGCCAACTCAACTGATGGCTCTAACCATCGGGGGCAATGGGGGGGGGATTAACCTTGTTTTGCCCAAGGACACTTTGACATGTGGACTGCCGGCACCAAGATTTGAACCTTGTGGTTGGGAGATGACTGCTCTATCCAATGCACCACAGTTGCCCTAGTGGGACAGGGTCTCTGTCTGAAGGCAAAATTGCGCTCCATACAAAGAAAAAAAAAAAAAATTAAAAAGGGCATATTGCTGATCGACAGGGGTGTAACCAGGGACCAATAATTTTGCTAGTAGTTTCCATCTGTTTGTTGTGTTTATGCTAAGCTAAGCTAGCCTTCTGCTGGCAGTTTCATATGAAATGGATGGGCACAACAGTGGTGTCAGTCTTCTTATCTAACTCTCAACAAGAAAGCCAAGTGCATTTTCCAAATTGTCAAACCATTCCTTTAATACAAGAATCAAGGTTAGGACATCTTGAATTTCCACTAAAACCCAAAGGATGTGATTCTTTTTGCAGCTGAAATCACCAATAAGGGTTTTAATCCCTGCTTGCAGGACTAACTTAAAAAAAAAGCTGTCCCCCTGAGATGGATTAACCATCTCAAACTGTGATGTGAAGTCCTCACAATTTGTACTTAATGGTCTAAAACGTTCTAAACCACTGGTATGGTTCTTTAACTTTTCTCATTTTCCTCAAAGACCACTGTGCAAGAAACTGCTGCAGATGCCTCCAGGCCTTCTAGCCCATGTAACGTTATGCGGCATCACATTCATGATATTCACAGCATTTCCAAGGTTGGTCAGTTCTGATGATTGGCCAGTTCCTGCAAGTTGGCTTGCTTTTGGCAGTGACTGCGAATTGGCGTGTGGCCACACTAGACTTCAGTGAGTCTGAGCGAGGGAGAACACTGCGCTGGTGTCAGTGTGGTCTCAGGGAAAGTGACTAATGAGGATCTGTAGCTCAAGGCTTCTTTGACAGAAGGAAAAACAGCAGCGAGAGGACTCTGGTGATTCCTGAAATGGAAGCAGCAGCAGGACGACAGCGGTGTCAGAGGGATTTCTCATGATGGCCTGTCCGTGGCCTGAAGGCAGGAAAAAGATGATTTGGAAAGCAGTGCTTGGTGGTCAGAGTTTGAGAAACTTAATTATCATAGGCATTCTAGCAGAGGCTAAACTGAAACCTGTGACCACATTAGTTGCTGAAATATGAATGCACTAATCCATCCAAAATCACCAGCCCTTCCAATAATTATGTGTCACTTAGCACAATGTTGCTTAGCTACTGTTGAAGAGTTGCACTGCTTGGCAAGAAAATGAACTTCATTTATTACAGCCACTGCTTAAAAATGTAAAAAAGTGAGCTCTTCTTTGCAAACACTACCTCTTATCTGACATTAAAATCACTGTAAAGCAGAGGAGGACTTGTGTGTTGACATGTCTGCTCATGCTGATGTCTCTCCTGTGGTTTTGTCTCTGCTGCAGTGAAGCTGTACACGGGAGTAGCTCAGCATGAGGGAGGTGGTCAGATGAAGCTCTTGGGGTGCCCTGTTGAAAGGAGTCGCCCAAAGCCCTTTTCTGTTCCTGACAGGGAGCGGGTGGAGGTGTGGTGGCCGGCTGCCAGGTGACCCACAGGAGCCAGTTGATTTGGCGCGGGTGAGAGGAGCTGGCTCAGACTCCCACTGGAACAGGACTGCAAGACTGCAGCTGGTCAGCGAAGACATTCAGCTCAGAGGAAATCCAGAACAATCAGAGAGCAACAGCAGCTCTTGTTTCATGTGGACCAGTTTCAGCTATGCCTACATTTCATATCTGGTGAATTACAAGGCATTATTCTTGAGTAATTATTTTCTAACACTGAATACACCCACTTGAAGCCTTTGCTGATTGCAAGCTGCTGTGCTCAGTTTGTGTGGACCACCCCCTCTTCCAACAAATGCAATTGTTACAGCCTAATTTACCATAAAATGAGCACTCCTGTTATAGAGACTTGTGAAATCATTTTTAATTTCTATTAACCCTTGAATTAGACATGAAATGAACTTCACTTTTGCGAGGCAAGTTGTATGCAAAGAGAATCATGTGACATCTGCATTTAAATGTGATTTTTCAACATTCTGGGGGTGTGATGTGTAGCTTTGATGCCTTATTGCTGTGTGAAATTAGACTCAGCGCTCAAGAGTTAAAGTTGCCCGGAGAGTGTGCAGATCAGTATCTCACTGTGACCGAGTTCACTGCAAGCTCACACACACCGCCACAGCTTGTATCCCCTGGGCTGTGTAGCCCAGGGGATAGTAAATGTTCATGCAGCAGCCTATTTGCATGTACTCACATGTACCCTCCTCGCAAATGTGCAACACTTTCATAATCGACACTGGCCTGTTTGTGGCTGGAGCTGGGAGGAGAGCTGCAAGTGAGAAAGGGACAGAGGGTGAAGACAGACATTACCAACTTCCCTCCATCTATCCGTCATGCCTCTGCTGATTTGATTGCCCTCTGTGCCATTTTCTGCCATTATCATTGATGATATTACAGCTGCCTGTGGTGCTGAGTTACATTTAGAGGTCAAAACTGTACTTTCCTGTATTAAAAACAAATTTCTCCGTCCCAATCCACTGGTCAGAAGCAGCATTAGCTAAGTCAGAGGCCCCATTTAGTTTATTGAAAATGCTAGCAGCTTAGAGAATAGAACATTATCATTTGAGATGAAACGTCGACAGGCCATATCCAAAACAGATCATTTTTCAGTTTTATTTGCCATTATGTCTAAAATAATGATCCATGTCTCACGTAATCTAATGCAAGATTTGATGTTGTGGAAGCCATCTCCTTTGCTTGAATCAATGAACTTTCAAGAGCGGAAAGGTGGAAAAGAAAGTAAATGCTACTGTGCAGTCAGTGATCAATAAAAATGGACTTGAATTTGAGCAAGCCATGTATCAGTCATCTGGGGGGTGGAGGGGGTTATAGCACACGGAGGTGGATGTGTTAAAATGCAGTGAGTGTATGTGCTAGAGGTGGACTGTGGGCAGATATGGTGGACAGCTGGATTGCATCTTCTGGTACTGACAGATTCACACATAAGAAGAACATCGCATGCTGCTGCCTGTGAAGATGGTG